CACACACACACACACACACACACACCCTGAAAACAGCACCAAACCTCAGAAGGATTTTCTTTTACAGTCCTGACGCTGAGCTGGATACAGCTAGGGGACAGAAGACTCCAGGGAGAATATTTGGGGATTGTATAAAAAGCACATTTGAGCACCGATGACTTTGTTCCATCAGACCGTGTAATCACAGACTGTAGCAAAACCACTGAAACACATCTTGATACTTCCAGGCCCCCTGGAAATGCTAAGCGCAGGTCTTTTCGGCCAGCAGAGATGAAGTCAGAGCCCCCACGCCCTTCTCCAAACGCGGAAGCAAGCCCCACAAGCCACAGCCAGCAGCCTGCGGGCCTGATGTGCTCCGAGTGGGAAGATCCATGGGATTCCAAAGGCAGAGGCATGTTCCACTGGGACCCAGTGGTTAACCCCCACGAGCCATCTTTCCCTCAAGACAGCTCATCGCGAGTACTGCTAAGCCATCTCCTTGGTATTCATTGCCCTCCACAGCCTTCAACTGGCGCTCAATCTGGACACGGAAAAGGAGAGAGACCTTGGGTAACACAGGGACACAGAGGCCCCCAGGAATGGCCCAAGCTTCCCTGAACAGCCAGAACCACCATCTGTGGTAACAACTCTAATGTCTTGAGCACAGACCTCCCCACACCCGAGGATAACGATGAATAAGACAAGACTTCTGGGGGAGTCAGGCTACCTGGGCAGACAGGACCCATGTGTGAAGAGATAACTAATGAGGAAGACAGCACAGATCCAGGAAACCTGTTCAGAGGACAGAGACCCCTGCCAGCCACAGCAGTTGGGAAGGTTTCTTGGTGAGGGAGGCTCTGGGGACCTTGAAGAATGGATCAGATTCCAGACGACTCATATTTCCACATCACAAGGGCCAAGAGGAGGCAGGGAGCTCTGACATCAAAAAGAGGATAGGACAAGAATCTCCCGACAAGAGGCAGCAAAGATTAGGGAGCGACATTCCTCGGTTCTAACAGAAGTATCTTAGAGAGAACAGCATTTCTTGCATCTTTATTTTATTTTTATTTTTTTGAGATAGAGCATGCAAGAGCGGGGCAAGGGCAGAGAGAGGGAGAGAGGGAGGGAGAGAGAGAGAGAGAGAGAGAGAGCGAGCGAGAGAGCGAGCAGGGGAGAAGGACAGACGGAGAGAGAGAGAGAAGCTTAAGCAGGCTCTACGCTCTGTGCAGAGCCCCGTGCGGGGCTTAATCTCATGGCCGTGAGATCATGACCTGAGCCAAAATCAGGAGGCGGACGCTTAACTGACTGAGCCACATAGGCGCCCCAAGAACTGGTATTTCTTGACCTTAGTACTGTCATCTATAAAAGAGAATTATCATCCCTTCCGGTCTCCATCCTTCCCTTCCAGCTATAACCCCTGGCCGCATTCTTGGGGATAGTTTGAGGAAAATAAATGTGCCTCCAGGTCCTGGAAGAGGCGCTTCTGGAAACAGAGGACGTGACTGTAAGGAGAAATGATGGAGACAAATCATAAGAGGGGTCCTTCTCCAAGGAGGGACCCCTGAGCCAGGACGGAGAGAAGGTTCCTAGGACCCACCTCAGCACCCAGACTGCGTTAGTTTCCCAGTTGTTGTAATAAAGTACCTTGAACTAGTGGCTTAAAACTGAAATTTATTTGAGTTCGGAAGGCTGCAAGGCTGATAAGGAACTCTTTGCCCTCTCACCCCAGAGTTGCACGTAAGACGCTGAGATAATGTGGAGCTCTCTACTTAACTGCCCCTGAGGCTAAGGCCTGGGGTGAGGGCGGAGGCTGGCACCCAGGGTACAGAGCCTGGTTTGCAGTGGGCCCACAGGCCTCCCTCGGGGTCACTCCCAGGTCAGCGAAGACCAGCTTCTTGCCCTGAATGACCACAGCCACTTCTGAGGCCCAAGGGGAAAGCATGACAGCCTGTGAATCTAGGAGCCCCACACCCATTCTCTGGGTACCCCAGGCCTTCTTGGAGAAGGTCAGCCTCCGAACAAACTTTTCTCCCTCCCCCTTTCCGCCTTCAGGGACCTGGCCTGTACTGCGGTGTGATGGCCAGAGAATGGACTTTGAGGTAGGCCTGGTCTTCAGTCACACTCAGCCAGCTCCATGACCTTAGATAAGTTACTGCACTTCTCTGAGCATTGATCTCGTCAAGCATAAAACGGGAATGAGCTCCTAGGGCGTCCATGAGGATTCAATGGGGTTCTTGGTGCAGAGCACTGCATGGGGGTGGGGGGACCTCAGCCAACATCCCACCCCCACCCCCGGCACCGCCTTGCCAGGCAGACTCCTTACCCCACTCAGCTCCTGGCGGATGAT